TGACACTTTAATACAAAACACGTTTATAGTACCTTTAACAAAGCTAAAAAATTTTTGTTTTTCCCCCTAGCCTCACCAAGGTGCAATAGACAAGTCATTTAGCAAATTATTAAAGAGCAATTTTAGTTAAATTCTTGGCTAACATTATCCAGCAATATAATAGCTTTGAATAATCACAATATTTAAATACAATTAACATACAGCAGTAATTCCGTCAACATTTTGTTTCATTTTCCTCGGTTTATAAGAGTCTTACCCTTTTGGTTTCGTTTTTAGGGATCATATGAATGTGAGCAGAATATATAGAATTGTACTCAATGTTGTGATTTATCTGATGAAAGCAATAGGAACTCACAGGTGAAGATAGACGAGCGGCTCATTCAGACTCCAGGTAACATTCAGTCTGCTCTGCAGAATTCTTTACTCCCAAATGCAGATAATTATAATGGCACTTGAAATCTCTGATCACATATTCTTTGATGTATTGTCTTCTTGTGATCACTACTCTTGCCAAGAAACATCCTGGCAACTGGATAGGATTTTGTCTTATTTTACAAAATGCTCCCTCAAGTTATGAGTACGACGTTCAAACGCCTCAATGAGCGGCTATTGTTGTAAAATGAATCCTGGTACTGTGAGAAGGTAAAGAATGAAACATAGGGACATTCTATTAAACGAAAGCTTCTGCAAGATAAGTCGGGAAGCTCACACTAAGCCTTTTCCTCCCCCTTGGACTAGGCGCCCCCTGCACGGGCGGAACAGGCCTGCGATCCAGGACGGTCATGAAGGGCGCGCCCTCTTGTGACCACAGGTGGGCAGCGCAGGGAGGCCGGCTGCCTGCCGAATCCGGGGAATTTAATTTTCATCTAAATTACGTAAACTTGGGCAGTTCACAGCACTTTTATATTATCTTTCTTTTGCGAAGACACCATAGCAGTGTCTCCATTTTCCAACATAGCTTGATTAACTTCTGTATTTCCTCTTTTTCTTGGTCAGTAAAGGTAAAGGCTAACTTCGACCTCCTGATCATCCAGCCTTTATCCCATTGGTCGTGTAGACTGAACACCACCCATGTAGTGACTGTGAAGACACTGTGTTCAAGGAATTATCCCCATCGCTTTCTGAAGATAAAGCGCTCCCCTCACCTGCTCACCCGCCTTCCACGCTGGTCTTTCTGCTCTTTCTGTGAGCCTGATCTCTGAGATTCGGTGAGCCCGGTTCTGTAAGGAGCCCCCTACATCAGCCCCAACAGAGCTTTTCAATGACGCCGGTGCCCCCTCCCAACAACCCTTTCTGTATCTCCACGGAGGGTCTTCCCCCATCTTCCAAAGAAACGGAGCGGATGTTTCCCACACCTACATTTTCTGCCTGTTCTGGACTGTCCACTTTTTTGAGCCTTTTAACCATCTTTTCCACCATTTGCCAAATGATTCTGGCCTCTCTGCTCAGTGTGGAGACATCATTTCTCCAAGCTTTTCTCACCACCACTGTGTTAGCACCACCTCCTGATACCCTTGGCAGACTGTGTAAACCCTTATCACAGGCGTGTGCTCCTTTCCAATGAACTCTCCACACCCAACTGTATGTTCCACGCTCTGTGGTCCAGCATCCTCGGGATCCAGACCATACTCTCCTGGTTCCTGCAGACTCAGGTTGACCAGGGCCCACAGCAGCTGAATAGTCATCTTCATCTCTTACCATGTCCAGCGTTTCTCTTGTGGACTGTCATGATGACTTGATCCTAGTTATGGGTCTAGGGATCAGGAGGGGAGGAAAGTAGATTGTGAGAGGACACAGGTTTTATCACAAAATAGAAGCTTCCTCTGCATAATCTTCAAACAAGACCGAGAGGAGTGGGTCACGTTTGCAGGCCCCCAAAATCCAGAGGGATTGGTGTTTACAGATATTTGTCCACATCAACCCAAATGTCCCCATCCCGAGTCTCTGGGTTTCCTCCTTTGCGAACAAGGTCCTGACCTTGGCATAGAAAACTTCCTGGGACCAAGAATCCAACTCAGCCGAAGTTATGCTACTCTTACATTTTTGCCTCAGGCTTCAAGAAGCCCTCTGCTTTTCACGCTTCACCTTAAATGGGTGGTTAATCACCCTCAGCCTTTTCTTGTCAATGGCTCCTGGTAATAACCACTCAATTCCAGTCCTGAAGTTGCTCCCTCCCCCATCCTCATGAAAGGTTGTTGCTGAACCATGAAAGACGCTGGGATTCTTGGCCTCCGGAGGAGAATTCAATCCGGGGCCAGAGACAAGGCTTGATCGCTCAGAGCTTTTGTGTAATAAAGTTTTTTTAAAATATAAAAGAGATAGAGAAAGCTTCTGACATAGACATCAGAAGGGGGCAGAAAGAGTGCCTCCCTGCTAGTCTTTAGCTGGGTGGCCCTTTAGAGAGATTGCAGGTTGAGGCAAGGGGAGAAGGTCTTTGAACCCCCACAGTGAGCACCACTAGATGTGGCTGCCCCAGGGAGGACATGTGACCTGAGACAGGATGCTTGCTTCAGCCAGGACAATTCCCAGGGAAATACTTTATTGTGAACCATCAGCAGCCAAACACACAGACGGCTGGGGAAGGGGGTGCTACAGCCCATCACAGTGTGCTCTACAGGGTATACTAAAGTTTCTAGCTTCAGTTTTGATTTTTGTTTTGCTCTCTGTAGTTATATGAGTTATTGCTTGGTATCTTTTGAGGCATTATTGTTAGAGACATATATTTAAGATGATATGTCTTCTCTGTCAAGTTTTATAGCTGTTATGAAGTTGATACCATGCTTATCTTTTCCCCTAATGATTTTTAAAATATTTTATTTGCTTATTTGGTTGCATCAGGTCTGGGTTGCAGCATGTGGGATCCTCGTTGCGTCACGTGGGACCTTTCCTTCTGCGCAGACTCGAGTTGTGGCATGGGGGCTCAGTAGTTATGGTGTTCTGGCTTAGTTGCTCCGAGACATGTGGGATCTTAGTTCCCCAACCAGGGTTTGAACATGTGTCCCCTGTATTGCAAGGCAGATTCTTAACCTCTGGACAATCAGGGAAGTCCCTCCCCTAGTGATTTTTTAAGATTCTATTTTGTTAGAAATTAGGCTTATTACTTGCATCAGTTAGGGTTCCGCCAGAAAAGCAGAACCAGTAGGGCATACATACTAAAAGATTCTCTTCTTTTGGCAAGAAACTGGCTTACTTGATTGTGGAGGCTGATTAGGCAAGTTCAAAACCTGGAGGGCAATCTGTTGGGAAGAGCAGGCTGGAAGCTTTGTCCAGAGGTTTTTCTTTATCAAGGAAGCCTCAATTTTGCTTTTAAGGCCTTTATTGATTCAGACCCAATCTATTTAATAAGATAATTTCCTTTACTTAATTCATCTCAGTTTATGGACTTTAACCACACTTACAAGTAGCTTTACAACACCATCTAGGTTAGAGTTTGATTCAATAGTGGGAGACTGTAGCCTTGCTAAGTTGACACATCAAAGATCATCACACTACCCAACTTTTTTGTTGTTCAGATTTGCTTGGTGAGGTAATAGTAAGACTCTGACACTCCACCCATCATGAGATGGAGTCAACATCTGCCTCCACTTGATTCCACACAACTTGTGATGCCTTTGGCCAGGAGTATGATGGAAGTCATGCTTTGTGACTTCTGCAGCTATATTCTAATCAGCCACGGGCTTCTCTCTTGCTTACTAGGACACCTGCTCTTGAAGCCCAAAGCCGCCATCTCAGCTGCCAGCTGAGTCCTTCTTGTCAAAAAGGCCACATGTCCAAACTGAGCTTATCCTTAAGCCATCTCGGCCCAACCAGGAGACATATGAGTACATACAGTTTGAAAGAGGACCCTCCCTGCCATCGAATCATCTTCTCAACTGAGGCTCCAGAAAGAACGGGTCAGATAAAAGCCACAGACACTGTTCACCTTCCAAATTCTTGACCCACAGAATCCATAAACATAATAAAATGCTTCTTCTTTAACACCATTAAGTTTGGGGGTGATTTGCCAACACAGCCATAGATAATGTGAACACTTGGATGTTTTTCATACTTTTATTTTCAGGCATTTTTTGGTATGTTGTGAGTATAAACGTGATGCAGGATGTTCTTGCTTCCAATCTGAGTGTCTCAGAATCAGATTCCTGAGGAGGGACTCAGAGTCTTTACTAGTGAATAGTAAAGAACCAGCACTTTGGGTCTTTCTGCCTTAAGACCCACATCTTTCCTGCCCACCCTTCCTCTAGAACTCAGGCACCAACTTTCTCTGGTTGATTTCGCGCAGGGTTACAACCGCTCCCCATCCCCACCCACCTCATTCCCACCCCTTTTTCAAGATGCCGTTGCTCCCCGATCTCTCTCTCAGTCGTCTACCAGACCGGCCTCTGCCCAGGGGAACTTTAAAGCCCCCTCAGAACCTCGCCGGCTACCGAGCAATTCACAGGGGGTGGGTGGAGGAGGTTGCCACGGAAACGGGTCCACTATCCGCGGCTCCGGCCGGGGGGCCGGCGCGGGTTCCGATTGGCTCCGCGGGCGCGCAGCGTCCTCCCTGCGCACATGCGCAGTGGCGCCGAGGCGAGGTCGCGGCGGAGCCGGGGCTCGGTGGTTCCGGGCCGGGCTTCCAAGGACCGGGCTGGACGGGCGGCTCCGGCCCAGCCTCCGTGCCCTCCGGGACGAGACGTGGCGGGCGGAGGCCCCTCTGCAGCGCGGAACCGAGCCCGCCACGCAGGCGCAGCGCCTGCCGCCATTGTTGCCCCGGGCCTCTAGGGCCGCTCCGCTGCGTGTCCGCCGGTCCGGCCACAGGTTAGGATGCGGGCGGCCTGAGGGGTGGGGGCTGCGGGGCAGACCCCGCGCAGCTGCCCCCGACCTTCAGACTGCGGAGTTAGGGGGACCCCGCCGGGTGAGCAGGCCAGGGGCGCCTCTGCCCAGCAGGCCTAGTGAGCACCTGGCTTTAGGGGACACGGTGCAGTTGAGGGGGGCTTGGAGGTGGAGACCGTGGACAGGTGGTGTCAGGCCTGCAGTGAGGTTTTCCGTGGGAAAACTGGTTCCAAATGTATTCCTAAAGAATTGTCCTGTAGAAGCTGTGCATGGGCTTCAAGTCACACGGGTCCCCTCTGCTTCTTTCCTGTCCCAGACCTCAGGTAGTGATGGGCTAGGACTGGCCGTCATCGATATGCAGAGCAGGTGGATGGCTCGCCGCTTTTCCCCAACCTTGAGCGCTTTAAAAAGTTCTCCGAGTTTGTTCGAAGTAACAGATTTGCTGTTGTTTTTGAGAGTCACTTCAGTCATTATAGCTTGTGTAATAATGACTAAAATACTGAGGCTTTTTTTTTTTTTCCTGTACAAGTTAGAAGTTTGACCTGTGCTTTTGCTCAGGATTCAAGTCATTGCATCTAGCTCCACTCTTTTATGGCAGTCCCAACTGGTGCCCAATTGGTAAGGTCTCTAGGTCAGCTATTTCTGTTTGTGTGTCTGGCAGAGAGCACCAGGAATTCCTGACTTTGTGGTGTATTCCTGTGTTTCAGGGTCTCTTCCCCATCCCTACGAATTCTGGGCTCAGAATTTGTAAGGAAGACAGCTGACTCCTCCTTGCCTCTGTTCAGCCCCTGGCTGCAGCAGCCCTTCTTAAATGTCTCGGTGGCTCTAGCATGTGACTTCAAGCACTTGGCTCTGACCTGGAGAAATAAAGGCTGTTGCCAGATTGACTCTCCTGTTTGTAGCAATGTTCTCCCCAAGCAGGAGGACGACCAGTTCTTCTCGCGCCCAAGTCCTGCTAACATGGAAGATGGACAAGGCTCAGAGCGGACCCCGAAATGCTGAGAAGGAAATCCTCGCCTTGAGACTCCTGCGTGACACTGAGACCTGTCGGCAGAATTTCAGGAACTTCCCGTACCCAGACCTGGCTGGTCCTCGGAAAGCCTTGAACCAGCTCCGAGAGCTCTGCCTTAAGTGGCTGAGACCCGAGATTCACTCAAAGGAGCAAATCCTGGAGCTGCTGGTTCTGGAGCAGTTCCTGAGCATCCTGCCTGGGGAGGTTCGGACGTGGGTGAAGTCCCAGTACCCAAGGAACAGTGAGGAGGTGGTGACGCTGGTGGAGGACTTGACTCAGATTCTGAAAGAAGACGGTAAGACTTGTAGGGCAGAGGGGGGAGGAGCCCAGGGTGGTCCAGGAAAACAGCCATCATGTCAGAGAACAGCCCTTGGAGGTGATCAGGAGAACGGAGCTCAGGGAGTGAGTGAGGACCTGCTTCACCTGAACCCCTTTTTGCATGGCATTCACCTTCTACCTGCTCAGAACCCAGCACATGTTCTCTGAACGCAGACGATGTGTCTTGTAAAACAGTGGCCAGGCACAATAGATGACCTCTGTGTGAGCCCTCAGGAGGTTTCCTGCAGAGGTTTGAACCTTTTGACAGTAAATAATTTGCTTTGTGAACTGGATTTTATTTAGTTTTTTAACCTATGCTTCCAAATAGCTAGGAAATGTCCAAGGAATATTTCTTTACTGAGTAAAAAGACAACTCGCAAAATTCCTATCACGTGAGGGTTTAGTGGGAAATTGTGAATTTGGCACCTATTCCAGAGTCCCAGAGCAGATTGTTTTTGAGGCCTGCGCCAGGGTCTTCAGGTGAGTCACTGCCTCTTCCCTCTACTTCTTCGAAGTAGGGGTGCTATTTCTGGTTTCCTTCTGACTCCTCTTCGCTTTAAGAAAACATAGACATCTACTGGTGAAGAGTTTCCTAGGCTCTTCAGACACCTCTGATCTCCATCATGGTCTTTCTCTCTCTTTCCCAGCTGCTCCTCAGAACTTCACCCTTTCCCAAGAGACCCCAGAGGACGACCCCAAAGGAAGACAAGCTTTCCAGGCAGGGTGGTTCAATGACTTGGTTACCAAAGTGAGTGTCAGTTTTTTCCTTTCTTTCTTTCTAAAACATTTATTTATTTATTTGCCTGCTGGGCGTCTTAGTTGCAACACTTGGGATCTTCAGTTGCAGCATGTGGGATCTAGTTCCCTGACCAGGAATCAAACCTGGGGCCCCCTGCATTGGGAGTACAAAGTTTTAACCACTGGACCACCAGAGGAGTGTCAGTTCCTTCTGTGATTGTAAAATGCCTCCTTCGTGTGTGAGGACATATTCTAACCTGGCCCTCTACCTTCTGTGACCCCAGAAGTCCTATCAAAGACCTAAGCCTCAGTTTTCAACTTAAGTCTCCCTGGCCTGTTAAGGTAGGTGAGTGCCTTTTACAGGAAACAGGACTCATTGCTTCTTCTGATCACCCCTTTCCTCACCGCAGGAAGGGGTGCTGTTTTATTTTCAAGAAGTAGTATCACATGGAGGCTACAGCATTGACCTCCAGAGCCATGTGAGTCTAGATTTGGTTCCGGGTTCCGCCATGGAACCTGTGACTTGGGGCAAAGATGCTTAACTACTCGTAGCCCAAGTTATTCAACTCCAGTGAAAGAATATTCCTCTTGGATTGTGAGCATTAAATACTATGAGACCCATTAGTCTGGACTACAGTAAGTCATCAAGAAGACTGCAGTGAGATTAAACAACAGTTATTATTTTTCTTTAACAGGTAATTAAAGGCCATGACTTGTGCGGTGTTCCTGTTGATTATGAGTCTCTGTTATCTTAAGGAAGAGCAGCCCAGGCCGTCTTAAGAGAAAGGTTTACTGTAAAAGTATATGTAGTCTGAAATTGATAACCAAAAAAAAAATTGATAACCAGAGTAAAATTATTACTTGTAGATAATATGAATGTTTACCCAAAAAAACCTAAGGAAATCAAGGGGAAAACTGTTAGAAATACTAATGGAAAATTTGAGTAAAGTGACAGCTACAGAAAATGGCTTACAAAAATTATAATCATTTTATTATATACCTGAAAAAATCAGATCTTAGAATGAAATTAAAGATTCCATTCATAGTATTACCCCCTCAAATTTAAAATAGCCAGAACTCAAGATAATATAAATTTTGCAATCCTGTGTTATTCTATGGGACATGAAAGAAGAAGCCTTAAATACTGTAAAATTTTCAGCTCTCCCTAAATTTTACACTTAACTGTGATTTGAAAATCCCAATACAGTTTTTTAAAGAAAGAAGATTTATTTGAAAAACATGAGAGTAACCAAGAATTTTTTTTTAAACAAAGGAAGAACAGAGGGACGCTAACTTGACCAGACTGTAAGATGTTCTGTAAGTTCAGTAGTTCAGTGTGGTTATTAGTACCAGTTTTATTTTAGAAAGGAAGAGGAAGGGCTCTGCTTTCCATAATAGAGCAGACAAAATATCTTAAAATGTCAAATTATAATGCATTTTATTAATTCATAAGACAGCACTTGAAAAGCCAAACCTTTCAACTCTGTGTCATCTATGTTCACATCCCTTTCTTCTTTAAGATGAAACTGCCAATGCCTGCACTAAAAATGGTAAATTTGATTTTATTTTCATACTTCTAGGCCACTTGAGTTTGCTCATCCATACACTGGGTGAATATTGGGTAGTAACCTTTAGGGTCCTGCCAACGCTCAAGACTCTGTGGTTCACCCACCATGCATGCACCTGTGCCATCACTGCCCTTCTGATGTTTCAGGAATCTGTCACATTCAAAGATGTGGCAGTGGACATCACCCAGGAGGACTGGGAGCTCATGCGTCCTGTGCAGAAGGAATTGTACAAGACCGTGACACTGCAGAACTACTGGAATATGGTTTCTCTCGGTAAGCGTCTGTCTGTGCCCCCCAACCACACACATGCCAGAGTCTGTCTGTCCTCAGCTCTCAAAAGTGGGCTGGGCCTAGAGGTGAACATGCTCATCTGTTCAGGCACAGAAACAGCCAGTTTCTGCTCCCTTTTCCCAGATGGAAGGTTTCAAAGTAAAAGGTCATCAGGAACCACGATGCGCGGCCCCCAGGACCCCCCCACGCCGTGCCCAGCGCCTGCCTCCCCCAGTCTCTGCACACGCACCCTCCAGGGTGGTGGGAGATTCTTGTCCCTGCTTCAAAAGGGCAGTGACCTCATTCATGAGATCGTGTCTGTGAACTGTTCTTTTCCTGTAAGAGGTCTGTCCTCATGGGTAAGAAGGAGTCAGTCAATAAAAGTAGTATGATTGTTTATCTCCAGGGTAAAACTCATTTTGTTCCTCCTGGACAGGACTTACAGTGTATAGACCAACTGTGATCCCCATGTTGGAAGAACCGTGGATGGTGCTAAAAGAAATTCTAGAAGGCCCAAGTCCAGGTGAGAGAACAACCAGTGGACGAGATTCTTTGTGCTTAAGAGCCTGTGTTATGCTAAGTGTGTGAGATGTGTTTTTAAATATGGCCGAGTCGCTCACTGTACACAGAGACACCCCAGCTGGTCAAGATGACTGAGCTGCTTGGTGAGGCTTCTTTCCAGATCCCATCTTCAGGAAAAGATCTACTATGTATCATTTTGTACTTCTCCATGACCCTTAGTTTCCCTCTCTTAGAGCTCTGCCTGGGGCTTTCCTTGTGTTCCCTCCCTGAATTCTTAAGCACGCATGAATGTCCCCTAAGATCTTAAATTTCAAACCCTTTCAACGTCTTTTTGAATTTCGTTTACTCTGTCTGTTGACAAAATCCTGTATCCACCTGCCTGCAGTCTCCTACCTCAGTTCCTCCTTTTTTATTTTCTAATTATTTTAAAAGATAACATGTTTACAAGACTAGAAATTATAAAAATATGTAAAGCCAGAGCTATACGGACAGAAGTCTCTACCTGTTTGCCACATTCACACAGTTCCTACATCTGTGTAGTCATCTGTGTATTGACACCTAGAATGACTATTCTAGTCCCTGATGATCTTTCATTTAAGATTCGTAGCGTCCACTGAAGATCCTTGCTTTATTACATTGCAGGTTTAAAAATGATGATTTTCTAATTCTTCATCTCTTCGAAATTATTTTTCTGTGAAAAACAGCTGTCCCTCCTCCCATCCCTTTCTTATGTGTACGTGTCACTATGAAGTAATGGAATTTTTTAAAATTCAGTGTATTATTGGCCCATTCCATTTGTGGGGTGGGGGAGTTGCTTTTAATTATCAGTTGTCCCAAATGTGGGCGATGGCCACCTTTCAGCCCAAGGCCATGTCCATTTGAGGCATTTCCATCCATGTTTCAGTGTTTCCTGGCTTCCTGGTGGAGGATGGTCTGCAGGCACACCTCATGCCCACCTTAGACCTGGAATTTCTTTGAGGAACAGTGGTTCATTGTAGTGGAGATTAGTGATGAGAAGCCAAAATCTGGGCAGTGAGAGTGTTCACTATCCTGGGTACCACTGCTTCTAGATCAGTTCAGTAGGTAGAACTGTGAAATATGTGTGTAGGTTTCTTGAAACCTGGATTCATACTGGTAACTCACATTCCAGTCCAGCATCACAAGGCCCATCTTGTACCTTCCCATAACCATTTTCTATTTCCTTTCCCACACAGCGAGTCACGTGGTTCCCAGCATCAGTATATCTGTCTGCTCATTTGCTCTGTCATAATAATACACACAAGAATGGTTTCAGAATTATATCGTTGAAATAACAGACTGTTCAGGTAATATTCAGAATGCCTTCCTGTCCTCAGGAGATAGTCCACCAAGGATACACAAGGATATCCACCAAGGATGCTGGGTTCAGTTACTTGAATTCTTCCCTTCTGGTTTTCGTAACAGTTTGATGTACAGTGAAGTTTGTTTGATTCCATTTGGGTTCAGTTTTAGTATTTTCTTATTTCTTGATTCTTTTTTGTTTAATCTTACATTTTTGAGTCTATGAAGCATTTTCATGGTTCAGAAGTCAAGACTGTAGAGAAAGGCGTGTGCTCTCTTCCCTCCTGCCATGTTCCAACCCACTCTGCAGTTTACTCTGTTCCCTTATCTCTGGTTTATCCTTCTGTGTTTCTCTTTGCAGAGATAAGTCGTATAGTCTTAGCTCTCCTTCTGTGTAGAAAAGAAGTACATTGTACTCATTTGCATTTCCATTCCTATCCACCAGCCCTCCTTTTTTAAGGCACTGACTTCTGGTTGTCTACCAGTATCAATGCTGGAATACAGTAGTAACAGTAAATTAAATAGTAATGACAGAGAATAATATGCTCCCTTATAGCAGATTGCTTCACTTTTTTAAAAAGTTAACTTTATCTGATCACCAGATATTTTAAGGGTGCTACTTGAAAAACTAATTCTTCTTATAATTTACAGCCTATTGGCTCTAGTTGGCAGAGTGACACAAAATACACACCAAATTATTTAGGGAGTGATTTCAGCACAGTCTAAATACTGAGAAAACACGTGGCAGGATGGAACTAGCCCTGCACTGCACAGTCTTCTGGGAGGCACTGCCCCTCTGGGGCCACTTCAGTTTTTCAGATGATCAGGTTGAATTAAGGCTGTAAACCCCAAAAGGGGGCCTATTGGGGGGGATTTTGCTCTCACCAAGGAGCACAAAACTGAGAAAGTCAAGTTCCTTTTCTCCTTCAGTTGAGGTGAGGTTTTGCATTTTGTTTGTTTTTCTAGCCCATCCTCTATAAGGGTGTGGCACAGAGCATACAGGCTCCCGCCTGCTGCCCCTCCTGGTTGGCTACAGGCTCTGTCTTCTGGCCCCCAAACCCCTTGCACCCTTAATGGGCAGCTGGAGGCCACCAACAGGGTGGAGGAGTGTCTCGGGCAGTCAGCGTCAACTTCCAAGATCCCAGTCTTCTGCTTTTACTTGATTTGGGGCCTCTAAGGGTTTACTTTCTTAGTGGCTCAGAGAGGTGTAAGTTGAACCTTTGGTTACAACATCTCATCAGTCATGCTTGAGGAGTGGGAACTTGGATGACTCACAGATCGAGCATCTGTGTTGGTCTCTGATGGCCAGTCCTGTCTCAGAATTTCATGGTTCTTTACATCATACAGGACCACCTATTTCTTCAGGTTTAGACCAGACCTCCCCCCATCCTTGATATCCCTCCCTTGATAGCCTGATCAACACTGCTCTCTCCTGCTAAAAATATTACACCACTGTGTGATACCTATGCTTTTAATTCATCCTTTCTGGTTAGTTATATATACATATTTAAGCCCTGCTTAATGGTCTCGTTGGTTTAAGAATGTATGCTTATAATAGCGATTTCTTTGTCGTCATCATTCAGGCTTGTTACTTTAAGCTTGTTAATTATAACTTTATTTATTTTATTTATTTATTTATTTGGCTGCACCAGGTTGCAGCATATGGGACTTAATTCCCTTACCAAGGATTGAACCCAGGTCCCCTGCTTTGGGACCTTGGAGTCTTAGCCACTGGACCACCAGGGAAGTCCCTAATTATAACTTTAGTACTTCCTTCTCAGGTGTATGGAGCATTCTGTCATAGACTGATTCTGATCACACAGAAGCTAAACCCAGTTTCTGGGACTATCTCATCTTTATACACACACACTACTTGTGTGTTTGTGCTCAGTCTCTCAGTTGTGTCCAGCTCTGCAACCCCATGGAATGTAGCCCTCCAGGCTCTTCTGTCCATGGTATTTTCCCAACAAGAGTCCTGGAGCAGGTTGCCATTTCCTGCTCCAGGGGATTTTCCCAACTCAGGGATGGAACCCGTGTCTTTCATCTCCTGCATTGGCAGGTGGATTCTTTACTGCTGAGCCACCTCAAAAGCCATATATATGTGTGTATGTATATGTGTTTATGTGTGTGTGTGTGTGTGTATACACATGTGTATATATACATACACACACACATATACACATACATATACACACACACTTTCCCATGCATTCCGTTAACATTCTCATTTTGGTTTTTTTTTTTAAGGAGGGAGTAATAAATCCTGGTTTAAGGAAGTTGTTTTTAAATTTTTTTCCACTAGATGAAGTAATACATCAATGTTTGTAGTACTAAATAACAAAGAAATACAGGCAATTTCTTGAAAATCAGAAAATATTTTTTGAAGCTTAGAAATCCCATTGTTGGCATCTTGGTAATTACCTAGTTCTAATGAGTTTTCATGCTAGTCACGATACTGCTTTTTTCATTTAACATTACTCCTAAGCATTTTGTAATGTCTAATTTTTGTATTTGAATCAAAGCAATAAAAGTAGTGTGTAAATCGAAGCAGCACGAGGCAGAGTAATGAACTATATGTCTCCATTTCCTTAACCACATGTATATGCAGGCATGCAGAGAGTGCTGATCCGAGGGGAGAAGGCCCTGGTTTGGGGTGAGGAGTTGGAGATACACATCTTTACACTGATGGGATCTTTCCTTACATACCATTTTCTCTCTTTTTTTCCTGTTAATATGTCCTGCACACTTTTTCAGGTCAATATACCTACTATTCCATTATCTCCTATTCTAACTAGTCCTTTATTGATGGATGAGTCTACTGAATGGATATATTTGTAAATATCCTACTTTGACCTGCATCTTAGAAACTTTCTGAACTATCCAGTATTGTTTGTACTGTATTATGAACTCTATTTGATGTTTCATTATATAATTTTTAATATTTTCAAGTTACAAGTTTCTTACCTGATTTCAAAGGTGTTGTAGCTTAAATATGTTTTAAGTCATCATAATGAAACATAGGCATCAACAAATGAATATTTGATGGCTTTGCAGTCAGGTTTTGGGGTCCGTGTATGTGTGTGCACACACATGCGCATGCTTTCATCTGAGTTCATTTTACAACAAGGTATTGTCATTTATTTTATCAGGTTCACTTGAGTGGCCTCCATATCCAGAGTCTTATGCCTTTTTCTGAAGGAAATGTAAAAGAAGGATAAGCCATTTCCAGAGTTTGCATCTGAGTTGGAAATAAACACACAAAACTATGAAATAATGTAAGGCCAACTAATGCCATAGGCCTAACATTATATTAAGTTGAACTATATGAAACTGCTGATATTCTGCCATATTCACCTATATACAAGGCAGTTTTTTATGATTCAACCTAATCTGTACTTTAGGATTCTGAGAAGGAGAAAGAAACATGAGCTGGGCCATAAGCATCTTTCTTAATAGATGAAGGTGTCATAAAAGAAATCTGGAATTAGTGGCACCTTCAGAAGATGATGAGGACACAGTTGTAAGTTATGTGGATAACTTCAAACTTTAAGGTGAATGTGAGGTGTGGAACAGGGGAGAGTACAATAGAAAAGGGTAGATTATTTGGGGCCTGAGTACTGAATGGAGGTATTTTAACTTTTTTTCCTTTAACTTTCATACTTTAAGCCACTGATCCTGAAACTTCAGTGTGATTTAAACCTCCTGGAGGGCTCAGCCCTACTTCCAGGGTTTCTGCCTCAGGATGTCTGGGAGGGTCCCAGTCACTTGATGTGTTTCAGGTCTGGACCACTGCTCCAAGGCTGTAGGAGTTACTATAAGTATTAAAGCAGGGACACACACCATGAAACTGCCCAGGATATCATGAGGGTGTGCAGGGTAGATTGGAAGGAGGGGTGGTGACAGCCAGCCTGCTTTATGACCTGCTATGTAAGTTAACTTATATGATTATAAATGATTATGTAATGAAAGTCATGCTACGTTGTTCATCATCTGTTTTCACTTCTTAATTCTGTTGCCTGACCTCACCTATTCTAGTAACTCCACACTGGTGTTAAATAGGGAGGAGCCAGTCCTCCTTCAACTATTTAGGCCTGTTTTCTGCCGTTTTATCCTCCTTGCCTGCACGTTGAAGACCATGTTATGAGGCTGTCAAAGCCAGTCTTTTTAGGCATTTTATTCATGTTCATTATTTTGTTTCTACTTTAGTAGTTTCCTTTCTTCAAACAGAGGCAGACTTTTTTATATATTTTTTGTTAATTTCAGAATGGGAAACCAAAGCCCAAGAGTGTACTCTGGTGGAAAATGTTTCTAAACTCAAAAAGGATGGAATCAAGCCCATCAAACTGGAAGAACCCTCTGACTATGATGACAGAATGGAGGGGCAAGCGGCAGAGACCTTCAGGAGAATTCCCACCAAAAGGAGACATTACAGTGTGAAGTCAGTCCTTTCACAAGAAGGTAGTCCTGTAGAAGACTATAAATATGATATATATAGAAGTGATTTTGAAAAGCATTCAAACCTAATTATGCAGTTTGGTACCCAGTCAGACAATAAAACTTTCATGTACGATGAAGACAAGACCTTCATCCCTGGCATCGTGCACAGGAAAATATACCCTGGAGAGAAGCCTTATAAGTGTAAGGTGTGTGGGAAGAAGTTCAGGAAGTACCCATCCCTCATCGCACACCAAAACAGCCATGCCAAAGAGAAGTCTTACGAATGTGAAGAGTGCGGCAAGGAGTTCAGACACGTCTCATCCCTCATCGCACATCAGAGGATGCACACGGGAGAGAAACCCTATGAATGCCACCAGTGCGGGAAAGCCTTCAGCCAGCGTGCCCACCTTACCATACACCAGCGGATCCACACGGGAGAGAAACCCTACAAGTGTGATGACTGTGGGAAAGACTTCAGCCAGCGTGCTCACCTCACCATCCACCAGAGGACACACACGGGAGAGAAACCCTACAAGTGCTTGGAATGCGGTAAAACCTTCAGCCACAGCTCATCACTCATTAATCACCAGAGAGTTCATACTGGAGAAAAACCTTACATATGCAATGAATGTGGGAAGACCTTCAGCCAGAGCACACACCTCCTCCAACATCAAAAGATACACACAGGAAAGAAACCATATAAATGCAATGAGTGCTGGAAAGTATTCAGTCAGAGCACTTACCTTATTCGACATCAGAGAATTCACTCTGGAGAGAAGTGTTACAAATGCAACGAATGTGGAAAAGCCTTCGCTCATTCCTCCACACTTATTCAGCACCAGACCACTCACACTGGAGAGAAGTCCTATATATGCAGCATATGTGGGAAAGCCTTCAGCCAGAGTGCAAACCTCACTCAGCATCACAGAACACATACTGGGGAGAAACCCTATAAGTGCAGCGTGTGTGGGAAAGCATTCAGCCAGAGCGTTCACCTTACTCAGCACCAGAGGATTCACAATGGAGAAAAACCGTTTAAATGCAACATATGTGGGAAAGCATATAGACAGGGTGCAAACCTTACTCAGCATCAAAGGATTCACACTGGAGAGAAACCCTACAAATGCAACGAGTGTGGGAAGGCATTCATTTATTCCTCATCACTTAATCAGCATCAGAGAACTCATACTGGAGAGAGACCCTATAAATGTAACGCATGCAACAAAGATTTTAGCCAGAGAACATGCCTTATTCAGCACCAGAGGATTCACACGGGAGAGAAGCCCTATGCATGTCGCATATGTGGTAAAAGCTTCACCCAGAGTACGAACCTCATCCAGCATCAGCGTGTCCACACAGGTGCCAGAAATCGAAACTAATGCATCCGGGAGACTGCACACAGGTTTTCAAACCTAATAGTTCTACATTTTATTTTGTACTCTGCTTGTTGAAAACATTATTCAAAAGAAGTGCAATATGGGTTAGATTTTCACTCAGCAGAAGTATCGGAATTAGTGATGGGAGTATAACCTATTTAAATGTACTGTGAAATTTCAGATGAAAACATTCGCTTCATAATAACCTTTATTTGATGCCGGTTTAGTTCATCCCAGAAAGAAACCGTAGGAAAGGAAGAGTGCCAGAAACCTGTTAGCCACTAACTCAGACGGAGTTTCAAGTACTTCTTCATGAGGCCTTAAGAATGTACTGTAACAGGAAGGCTTCCATCCAGTAGAGCTTCCACACCAGAGGGTAATCCCAGGGTGACAGAACAGAAGAGCTGCCCTCCAGCCTTTAGTTCTTCCCAGATTTGAAGCCTTAAATATGTAAAGGGCCCCCTTCCCTTTTCCTGTTATGCCATAACTGCACGTGAAGCCAGTAGGTTTGCCAAAAAAGAAAATGGTTGAAAGTATCTTAAGGAAGGACTTGTGTGTGACCACTGTTTAATTATGCTTTCCTCTAAATACTGAGATGTTAAAGGAAGAGCAGCCTAGTGAAAGATGATCTGTTAGGAGAAGCTAATGTGTCTGTAACCCTTAGACACGTGCACAAATTTTCTTATACAGGCAAAAATTAAAATTTAAACAATTTAAAATTTAGATATGTTTAGTATCTAAAACATAACAGCCTGAGTCTCACTAGATTTTGACAGGCTTCCCAAGTGACTCAGTGGTAAAGAATCTGCCTGCCAATTAGGAGACACAGGAGATGTGGGTTCGATCCCTGGGTTGGGAAGATCCCCTGGAGGAAATGGCAACCCACTCCAGTATTTTTGCTCCAGGCAATGGGGTTGCAAAGAGTTGGACACAACTGAGCACGCACTAGCTTTCGACAGCTGTCATCCAGAAGAAAAGAATACAGTTGCTTTTTTTTTTTTCTTTCCCCCATTTGATTCCTAAATTCACAGTTCCTTTTTTTTCCCCCATCTGACTCCTAAAATCATACCCTAAGGCTCCCCCATGACAGTCTTACTGTAGAAAGTCCGTTTCTTCCTTTGAAACATGTTTCTTGAGTGCCTACTGTGCTCAGGGCCCAGACCTCCTAGTTGGATCCTTCCAGGGCTTACCTCCTGAAAGTCACAGCTGACTGAAGCAACAGAAAGCTTTCTAAAATAATGAAAGGTAACAAAATCAAGGATGTGATCTTAACCGGTGCTTCATGGAATGAGCCTAGGAAACCTGCTGAAATGGGTTGCTAAATGCAACCCCGTTATCTTAAGAAAGTAATGAATGTAAGCAGCTATTTAAACAGTATGAGGAAAAAATAAGTAGTGGGAAATGGGTTTGAGTTTAGTGCAGAAAGTGGGTCAGGGAAAAAATCTAAAGACTTAAGGGTGAGGAAAGAGGATACAGAGACTACTTACAGCTGAAATGTTACTAGACTTGATTACCTAAGAAAATAAGAGTGGCCACGTGAATGAAAAAGCAAACCAGCCTATTTATGTAAGAAGAAACTAAAATTGAAATGACTGGTTTCAAAAGAATCACTGAAATTGGTACTCCTCGTACATGTAAGTAAAATAGGGATTACTCTTAAGATAACGAGACGTTTCATTGGAAAAAGCATTGATGCAGAAACTATCACCGTTGCAGTAATTATTAAACAGTAATAACTGTGGGGCCCCAAGCAGCACATAAGGAAAACTGGTAGAAACACAATTAGAAATAGGTGAAACCACTACTGTATGTACTGTCCACAGCATTGCACTCTCAGAATTTCAGACCATGTGCTGACAGCTGACCTTCCCTTCTGCTTGTGTTCTTTCAGTGCCTTGCCTTTGGTAGGTGGTTGAGATATGCTGGTTGAATTAATGAATATGTAGTCAAGTTAGGCTGGAGTAGTAAGGTAGAGTAACTGATGTGGTGTGAAATTGGCAAATCTTTATAGTTTTTAGTGCATACATGCAAAGAAATATGTAACAAATATTGGCCATTTGTTACTAATAGGAGTGACTTCAAAATGAAGAACCAGAATCCCCAAATCTTACTAGCAGGGATATTCCTAAAAAGTCAAGGGACATCTTTATACAAGAAGCTTTCCTGAGCTAGGTGAGGAAAACCTGATATAATTTCTGGTGCCATAAATAACACTGTAAGCATGTATGGACCATGCAGCTTCATTTGGATATTGGAAAGACCGGAGGGGGAGGTGGCAAAGGACCTGGAGTGCCAGTATCTTCCAGGTTCTCTTCCTGAGCGTTTTCTTCAAGAAGCTGCTTTCCCCTTGTCCTCCTCGTAGTTAACCTCGATGTCATGGAATCACCCTTCACAGAGTCCAGGTTTTCTTAAGGTTGCATAATTCTCAGATTATGCTCATGCCATAGTTATGTTAAAAAAAAAAAAAAAAAACAACCATTGTATTTAAGGTGCAATTTTTTGTAACAGTACTTCATACCTTACACTTTATTCTCCTGGAAAGAAAGTGTGGAGTGTTACAGTCCATAGCGCCTTTCTTTGCATTAATCTGTGTTTCCTACCTTTGTGTGTTTTATGTAAATAATACACTTATAAGGTCTTCCACTGAAAACACCGAGGCAGTTGATGCCCTTATAGTAATAATTGTGGAGAATCCTAGATCTTCATGTTTTCCCCACTTTTACAGTTGTCTGATCCATGCTTTGAAGTTTTTTTTTTAAACAGGTAGTCTTATTTTCCACAACTTTTTATTATGAAATGTTCAAATATACAGAAAAGTTAAATAATAAAATGAACTATATATCCACCTAGATGGAAAAATTAACATTTTGCCATATTTTCTACTGAGCAACTGGAGAGTAACTTACAGACATTTCACCCCTAAACACTATTCATGCATCTCATAAAAACAACCACAATAACATATCTCAAAAAATGGACATTAATGCCCAACTATCAAACACTCAGTCTGTGTTTCCATCTTCAAGCCGTACAGATGCTTGTCTATTCCATCCACCCAGAATAGCTTCCTGCCTTGAGGTTCTTTTTCCAGGACTTTTTTTTTTTCTTTCTCCTTCAAATAGAGCAGGTCAGTTGTAAAATGTCTTTCAGGATTTAACAGATTGTACATGTGGTTTGTTTATCTTGTTCCTGTAGTTTCTATAAATTAGCAGATAGGGCCAAAGGCTTGGTGTATTCATGTTACACATTTTTTACATTAACACCTCACAGATGTATTTCATATTGCATCCCATCAAAAGTCTCAATATCAGGTTGACTAGGGACTTCCCTGGCAGTCCAGTGATTAAGACTGCACTCCCAATGCAGGGGACATGGGTTTGATCCATGGTTGGGGGATCCTGCATGCTGCCTGGCACAGCCAAAAAAAAAACAAAAAAAAATGACTCACTGTGATGCAAAATTTGATCACATCTTCCCAACTTAAAAGGATGTCCTTGCTGTTGCAGGTAACAGATAACCTGTGCACTAATGTGGCAGTGCGTAGGCAGCCCATTTACCAGCAACCTTTTACCTGATGGTTTTGGGGATCCAATGATGATCATCCTTGCCAGAATCAATTATTTCAGCAAAATTTGCTGAAATTTTCTAATTCTGTCCTTTCTACATTTACTGACTGGTACTATGTAAGGAAGAGCTTTCCTTCATCAGCTGGGACTGCACTAGAGGCAGGATCATACTCAAGTCTTTCCTTAAATTACTGATTTTTCAAGAGTCAGGAGTCACCAGCAGTGATGACATATGATTTGGTGCTGCACAGTTAGGATCACTGTTTCAGATTTTCTGATAATCCAAGACTTGGCCAGTTAGAAACCTTCAGGTAGCCCTTTTGTCCTCTGTCATTCGTCTCCAACCTTTGGGCACTTAATGGCCTTTTGACAAAGCTGTTTCCAGTTCACCTCACACTCTCAATACCCCAGGTATGGGATGAGCCCTTTCTCCAGGAATCCCTGGCTCTTTTTTATAGGCAGCAATTTAGAAACTAGATCTGGGCAGTGGCCATGCTCTCTGCTCCTGGGCATTGTTAGCAAGTGGGCTGAGTCCTTCCAACCGTTAGAAGAGTCTGCAGTAAAGTCAACTCTGCCGTTCTTTCACCAGTTACATAATATCTAATTCTGTAATGAGGAGACATAATTATATATCCAGACAAACGATTTGGGGAGCAAATAAGTCCTGTCGAGCAAACTAAACTGGAGGGAACACAAGGGTTATGTGTACCTGGAAACCCACACACTTAAATGCAAGTCTTGTGCCAAGGCCATGAGCAATAAGTTTTCAAAGGGACAGAGCTTTTCAGTTAACCTGGCAAGCATGTTAAGTAGAGGGCAGTTGAGAGCAACTGCGTGAATGACACCAACTATGTGGTGGTCTGACTATGACGTGTCTTGATGATTTACTGTGTTGAGCTCATCACACCCTCTTCCCATCACGTTAAGGCAGGTTTCTGATATAAATCAGAGTTCTGAGGATCTATTTCATGTAAAGTACTAGTTTTTCTTGCTAAACTTTTATTTGGTCTTTTAAAACTTAATGCCATTAAGTTTCTTTGATTCTTATCTTCTGGTATGAATTCACTTGCATGCGCCTTTAATGTACTTTCACCCCTTTATTCTCCTCATAGCTCTATATTTCACTATAATTACTACCCCTTTAGAACACAGTAGCCATTAAAAATGCCTAGCATGTGTACTACAGTGATAGGTATAATGTGTGTCTAAGCTTGTCAGCAGGACTGAGTCTTGTGTGTGGACAGGGAAGGGGAAGCCCACCCAGATCACATAACACCCAGTGAGGGAACAAGGATTGGAACCCTTGGCTCCAGCACTAGGTTGAGTTCTTTATTTAAAGTAATGTTAAATGAAAACTCAGAATACAAAAAGTATGTACCTATAATTTTATAAAATTACGTTATTTTGATGAGATTCATTTCAGTTGCTCAGTCATGTCCGACTCTTTGCAACCCCATGGACTGCAGCATGCCAGACTTCCCAGTCCATCACCAGCTCCCATTGAATTGGTGATGCCATCCAACCATCTCATCCTCTGTTGTCCCCTTCTCCTCTTGCCTTTACTCTTTCCCAGCATCAGGGTCTTTTCAAATGAGTCAGTTCTTCACATCAGGTGGCCAAAGTATTGGAGTTTCAACTTCAGCATCAGTCCTTCCAATGAATATTCAGGACTGGTTTCCTTAAGGATGGACTGGTTGGATCTCCTTGCTGTCCAAGTTACTGTCAAGAGTCTTCTCCAACACCATAGTTCAAAAGCATCAGTTCTTCGGCGTTTAGTTTTCTTTATAGTCCAACTCTCACATCCATACATGACTACTGGAAAAACCGTAGCTTTGACCAGACGGACCTCTGTTGGCAAAGTACTGGTCAGCACTTGATGAGATTACAGCACTTTAAGTTTTTTGTCTCCCCTCCCCTAGAGTCTTTTAAATTCAAATCTTTAAATGAGAATTGCCCAGCAAATGATGCACACCCCTCTCCTCC